GCTGTGGGTCAGGGTGGAAACTCAGCTATGTAGCTTGCATGCAGCCTGTTGGTTTGCAGAGTGGCAGAGAGAAGGGAACCAGACCAGTGCGCTGAGTCTTTTTTGCCTGTGTCTAGCCATATGAAGGAGCAGCAGCTACTGTGTGGGACTTAGGCTCGGCAACTCTTAGGTGGTGTTGTTCTGGACACAGAACCCTGTTAGAAGATCCCATTCCTAGGGTGCAGTGCAGTGCTCGATTGTCTCCCTGAGCAGAGAGGTTGCTTTTATAGCACTGAGGCCATGGAGACATAAACCAGATGCTGGAATGGCAGGTGCTGTAGCCATGGCATAGGAAGTGTGGGAGGAGTGAATCTTGAGTGTTACACTTGAGGTCTCATAGATATGTCCAGGAGAGGTTGCTAGATCTCTGCAGCAAACGTGAGGCTCCATGGGGAGCCGGTTTCAAGGGAGTGGGGAAGGTGGCAAAAGTGGTTGCTGGAATAGTGTGTAAGTAGGAGTAAGACAAGCTAAGTGTGACTCCACAAATATTGTGGACGCTGGAAAAATTATGAAATTGCTTTCTAAGAAAAGGGTAAATTATAGATTGTAGTGAGGTCTTTGTTACAGATTAAATTTTTAATTGGCTTTACCTACTTACATTGAACTGGTATCTGATTTTTATCTCCCTTAGGTTTGCAGATTGCCTTCAGAGAGCCAGTATTCTCCAACTTTCTTGCTCAAACTCATTCATACCTGGAGTAAGTATCCCAGGTGAGTGTTCTCCTCAGAAAGAAGCATAAGTACTCCTGAGTAACAAAATTCAAGGAAAAACAACACAGTAACAAGTAAAGAATAATTGTGTCAAATGTCCTATTTTCTTTTTCCATTGGACTGTTAATCTTTAGATGGCAGTCGAGGTGCAGTTCGGAAGCTTTCCAATTTATGCAATTGCTCTCTATTTAGTGGGCTGCTTTCCCCACATATTAACAACTAAGCACATATGTAGCGCAAACGCAGCTGATCTGTGCAGGGGAGGGCTGACTTCTTAGAATGTGTTTGTCTTGACCAGTAACTTCTTTAGCCTTGCAAGCTGGGAAGTCAGTGTTAAAATATTTCATTCATGTCTTTTGATTCTGTTTTGTTTGATTGAATCTGTGACTCATTCTGAGAGTTGTAAGAGAACATTTTTGGATGCAGACACTTTGAGAAATTCCCACTCAGCTGTCTTGAGCGATTTTTGCTTCTTCCACAGACTCAACGGCTTTACCTTTGTTAAAGTATCCAGTATATGTTTTAAGACATGTCATTTGTAGGCATGAATATACATTTATATACAAACTCCTGTAAAAAATAGTGTTGGAGGATTAGGTTAGGAGCAGACTAACAGGAGGCTTGGACACACATCTATGGAGAATGTGTTAGGTTTAGATGATGCTGTCCTTGTCATCAAGTCCCTTTTCTTGCTTCCTCTCAACTTCCATTCATTCTGTTTTTCATGACACTGTAATTCTCTGATTTTTTTTGGTGCTTTTTCATTGTTTAAATTAGAAGGCAGTCATTATCTTTTTGAACTTAAAATTTCAGCCAACCTGTTTTATAATCTTTCTCTCAGGTATTTCCCCTTGCTGGCCAAGCAGCATCCAGATAACCCAGAGTGTGATATACTCTCAAATGTGTTTGCTGTACTGTCAGCCAAGAATCTGTCTGAGGCCACATCCAGTCTTGTGATGGACATAGCTGATAGCCTTCTCAACAGCCCAGATTTTGAACCCACGGAGCAGGTTTCCCATTTGAGCGTGACTGACTGTGTTGTCATGGCCCCTGGAGACATGACAGAAGGTATGCCTAAATAAAAGTCATGAGAGGTCCAGTGGATGCTTTGGATGAAGGGGTCAGATAATGATGAGGCTGTCTTTGCACTGGCAGAGAATACCAGGAAAGGAGACCTCCCAGTGGAGATAGAAATGTCAATGTACAAATTTGTTTTGGCATGCTCAAGACCTGTAAAGTCCTGCTTGTCTAATGACTGGTGAGATCCAGATGTGAGTGTTGGGGTCCTGAGCATGGAGAAACTCCTTATGAAGAAATTCCTTTGTGTTGTCAACCTGTTTTGTCTGTGAAGCTTTGCTGATACGATTCAAGAACTGAATTGCTTAACTTGATTCTGAGCCTAACATCAAGTTTAAGTTTTTAAAAGGCCCAACCCCTCTACGCACATAGTCATGCATCACTTTGATGTTTAGTCTGTACTCCCTGATGAGAAAGACCTGCCATTGATTCCTTTTGTGTTTGAGTAGTAGACAGGAACAGTGATGTGCTGTGTTTGATGCTATGGAGCCATCTTTCACCTCTAACACTCAAAGGTAAAAGGAGAGCACGTATTGCAGTGGCCTTGATATGGCAGCTTTGATTTGCACAAGGGGTTAGTGGCAAATAAAGGAAACTGCCTCTAGAAATGCTTCAGCCATTTTAGTGAATGGTTACTGTCTTTGAGGAATGTCCTTGGTTGGTACCTTTTGATAAGCCCACACTTACCAGGGCTGTTACTGAAATCTGAGGGGAGCTTTTATTCTCTTTGTTCTTTCTTTGGTCCCAGCTCAAATGCATTAGACTTGTTCTCAGCAAGTGCTGGTGCATGTTCCAAACAGCCAGCTGCCCTGCACATCCATAGCTCACAGTGATTTTTCCTTCCATTGCTGAAACCTCCTTTGTTGGCATCTTCCCCTTTGTTTGTGTAGGGTTGGATCTCCCTTATGTCCCTTGCAGCACAAAGTTGGTAGTTGCTAACCGTTGTGTCCCTTACAGAGACCCTCAGCCTGGGTTGTCGCTTGGTACTGCCTCATGTTCCTGCCATACTTCAGTACTTCAGCAAAACAATGTTAAATGTGGAAAAGGTGAAAAAGAAGAAGTATAGAGCTCAAGTCAGCAAAGAGCTGAGTATACTTTCCAAGTAAGTGACTCTAGGGTTCAAAAGAAGTTAAAAAGTTGGAAGGAGGGAAGAAGAAAGGCTTTTCCTAATAGGTTCCAAATATAAAAAAAGTTATGTCTCAAACTATTTAAATTTCAAACAGTTCAAAATACCTGGATCTGTCATTGACTTTGTGAGTTGCTGGTGACTGAGGGGCAAAAATTTCTGAAATTGATTCTAGTTGTTTCTGGTACTCAAACCCAATGCCTTTTGGGGGTAGGAAAAGGTACAGAAATACCTGCAGTCATGTTGAACTGAATACTTAAGCTGATGCTATGATTTTGATGAGTATGCTTTCTTGGTCTGGATGGACTGACAAAGCCCTGTGATATGGCAGTAGTGCTGACTGAGTTCTTCTTTGCTCTATATTGGTGATTGGATTGATACAAAATAGTAAATTACCTTGTCTCATTGTGCAGGATCAGCAAATTTACACAAGAAAAGAGCCAGAATTCAGTGCTTGTGAGTCTTCTCCTCCCTTTCCTTTATCAGAGTAACATGGAGCAGGTAGGTGGAAATTACTTCCCCCTAAGTTTTTCTTTGAATGAAGTATGTTTAAGATGCAGAAAAAAGTCTTATTGATTACATGCCATTTCTCATGATTAACCTGAAATCAAGTCTTCATGTGTTTCGTAGTCTGCTCAGAACGTTGTGCCTTTGTGTGTTGATGAGCATTAGACACTGGATGCTTTGCAGAGATGCCACTGCCCAGGCTGACTCTGTTTTTGTGGGGAAAATCTGCAGAAGTTCTTATGTGGTCTTTACCTCCTTTGCCACTGTAGTCAATCCACCAAATTCTTGCTGTGTTTAAAATAAATGCTCTTCTTCACTGTGGATTTTATGCACCCCAAATCTAAAGCCACAGCTTCTGAACAGCAATGTGAATAAATATGGTTGAGTATCTAGTACATGCTGTGTAATGGGCAGTGCTACATTAGTCTGTTGCAGGATGAAGGCAAACATTCTACAGTACTGTTATAACACGCTCCCATATCTCCTGCTTCCATGCTGTTTTCCTTCAACTCTTAAGGAATCCATCTGTGGGTACAGAGGTGTATGTCAGAACTGAAACTTCCCTAAAATCCTAAATTCCTCAGGCATATGGAGCATATGGGCTGCATTTGAAGGAAACAGAGCTGTCTGTGGCTTAGGCTTTTGTAAACTGTTAATTATATCAAACACTGAGGATATTGGTAGACTATTTCTGGCTGGGTTTCCCACAATGTCAAACCTAATTTTCAGAAATATAGTCCCATCTACAAAGATTGAATCTGTTGATTATTCAGCTTGATTGCCTCATTCCTTGGATCAAGGCTTGGGTCTTTTTTTTCTTAAAAGATATGCAGTTGCACAATGAGAAACTTCAGGTTTGCAGAAAGAATGGCTAGGCAGCAATCTGTAGCTTCTGCTTTGCAAGTGGGCATTTAATTGTTCACAGAGGATTTGTAGTTTTTAAATCTGAGTCTTTAGAGGACCATATGTGACTTGCATTCAGGGAAATCATGCACGTATATGGTGCTGTTAATGTTCATTTCACAGGTTAAAGAAATAGAGCTTTAAAAAGTAATACCAGTTTTCTTCTGACCTTTGAGTCATTTGAGGAAAGACACAAAAAGAAGTCTTAGTCATGATGGCATTCTTCTCTGACACTGTACTTATGTCTGATTGAAAGGCCAGGAGTGCTTCTGAGAGATAGGATTGCATTGAGTGTGTCTTCGTAATTCTTTGTTCTCACTCGGTATCTGATCTGCAAAGTGGTTCACTCCACTTTGTGTCTTGAAATATATTGCAAGGAAATTAAATAATCTCATTAATTTCAGTATTTATTGACACTTACCTGTCTTTTTCAGGGTACAGAGATTGACATTCTGGAGACAGTACAGAACTTGCTGAAACATTGCTCAAACCCTACCAGCTTTCTCAAGCCTCTGGCAAAACTTTTTTCTGTCATCCAGAGCAAACTGTCTCGACATAAGTTGTGCTTGGTATTTCAGGTATTGGATTTTTACATGTCTTCCTGTGCTTTTGTTTTTTACTTCTAAGACATCAGGAACAAGATAAATAACCATATTTATCTTAGATAAGAACTTAAATACCTTTTTTAATCTACATTGTCTGTTAAGTGAATAACAGAATTGTATATGTTAGAAATTAATGAGCTGCACGAAGATTTGTAATTTTGGGGTTACAGCCTGATTGATGTGGGCATCACAAGAATTCTTTTGTGTAAGAGAAGCCCCAAATAAAGCACACTTCATCCCTAACAAATCCTGTGTCTTTATGAAATAAGAATAGATTTTGGCATCCTGGAGATGATTTTTACTTGTATTCTTTTCTCACAGATTTATAGCAGTCAGGCTGTTTTTTTTCTTCTTTGAAGTGACTTACATAATTTTGTTGTCAGCAGGAAAAGCCAGGAAACACTCAGTGTAGATATGTAGAAACTTGGGAACTAAAAACACTCCTCTCCTGGCTTATAGAAGAATGGCTTGTATTAGGCTTCTAACAGAAGAAAGATTGATGCTGTTGCTTTCTTTATTTTTTGTCTCCAGTGGTAATGTCTTGAGTTCTCCCAATTTTTAACAGCTCTTTCCTTTTATGTTTCTTTTTAGACTTTATCTGATTTGGACAGTGAATTGGAGTATATTACTGATGTTGTTAAGGTACGCACAATTTCCTTGCTTACTTTCCCCCCAACATTGTGTTATGTTTCTGTCCTTTTTCATGAGTGTCTTGTTGCACTCTCTCTTCAGCTGAATGCCTTTGATAAACGACATCTCGATGATATCGACTATGATGTGCGGCTGTCAGCATTCCAGTCAATCACAGCCCACATCAAGGAAATGCAAGCCGTGGATGTCAACTTTCTCATCCCCGTTATGCACAACTGCTTCTATACCATCCAGGTTGGCTGAATGTTCCTTCTCTTGCATTGTGCACCATGTGTCTGTGACGAATCTAACTTCCAAATTACTTCCGTTGACTGTTTTTTGACACTTCAGAACATTTCAGAGAGCATGTTTGAGTCTTCTTAAAAACACCTGGTTTGAAACTTCGTTTGCTTGTCTTTTCACCTCTGTGTCCAGAAGGACAAATACAGTGCAGCAAGAAGGCCCACCCAAGTGCAGTGCACCTTCCTGTCAGTGAGCCCTGGAACGGTTTGGTCAATTCCTATCGTAAAAAAGGTGTATTACAGTCTTGAAAGGCTGCTTTTTTGTTGTTGTTGTTGCAGCATGTTCTGCTTGTGTGGGTGTGCTGGTAAATCTAAAAGGTTTTTTCCCGAATAGAAGGGTGGGCTTTAATTCAGGACTAGAACTTCTACAGGAAGAGTCTCAATAGTTAATGGATCTCTGTAGCCTTTATGTCGTGTCCAGTAGTACTGTTCAGTTCAGTCTTTTTGGGAGAAAAAGGTGTCGTATCCAGACTCATATGGTACAATTTCTTCTACTCAGCTCGGGGATATGGCTCTCAGTGACAATGCAAGCCTTTGCTTGACCACTTTTATCAAACGACTGGCAGAAATTAACCACACAGAAGATGACTACAAGGAGCTAATCCAACACACTCTCCTGGAATTTCTAAGAAGAGGGCTGAAGAGTAAGACTGAGGTAAGGCAGTGCTTATCCACTTATATATCTTCAGCTGTCTTCTGAAACCAGGGTATATGAAGTGCTTTATGAATGAGTTCTCCAAGTCCCTTGGGATAAGAAGTTCAGGTGCCCACTGTAAACTTACCCTTCAGTGGAAAACTTACAAAAAAATCCATAAAGTTATAAAACTCAGTTGTCTTGTGTTTCTTTGCCATTTTCCAGCTTTTCTTAGTTGTAGCTCATTGGAGGGGAGGCTTTAATTTCTGTGCAATCCAAAATACAAGTGTATTTGCAGTTACCAAAGAATAGGACTTGTTGGTCTGAAACGCTTGTAAATGACAAATGGATTGCTCCTCTGAGGAGTGTGTAGCAGCCTCTCCAAGGGGTTCTTAACATTCACTGCTTGCTGTTGGCAGAGCGTCCAGCACGACTACACATCACTGCTTTCCTGCCTCATTCAAACATTCCCAGCAAATCCCGAATTCCGGGATTTGGTCCAGTTGACCAACCGTCATGATCCCGACATGGACTTCTTTGAGAATGTGAAACACATGCAGGTAAAAGGCAACAGGCATTCCCTAGTGCCTCTCTCCCCCTGCCAGAGCAAAAGCATTTTGCTGTGGGGTAATGTTTTCTAAAGCATCTGTGCACATCAGTCATATTTCTACCTAGCAATTCCATGGGTCTGTGATTAGCAGTGCTGGTTTTTACCTCTTCCTAATTTAGCTAAAAGAATTGCTTTCACTTAAAGTGATTGTTCGTGATCTTGAGCAGGCAACTTCACATTACAACCTGTGTATGTCCCAGCCCACAGTCAGCAACAGTGTCGTGAGGGTCCTTCTGACGTAGGCAGGGGAACGGGTCTTTTTGCCTTTTCTAGCATGTTTCCTGCCACTCCCTGTCTGGAGGCTGTGTAGCCCCTTTTCATTCACAGACCTTTGCAAAATAAGTGTTCACAAAGCCTAGTCTCTTGGTTTTTCTTGTGGTATGAAAATACAGCATTTCCACTGCTTTCAGACGTGCAATCAGAGAGAGCCTTTGCTACATCTGTAGTTATATGCAGAGTCTGATTTTTTTTCTTTGTAATTTTATTAGGCCTTCTCATCTTGTATCAGTTGCCTCCTTTGTCTGATACCTGAAGATGGCACAGTCGTATGATTATGAATTCACAGTGAAATATCCCACCAAGTTGGAATATTTATTAGGACAAAAGGCTAGTGAAAGCCCAGAGACTGATGGAAAAGGGCACAGCCTGTCCTTGGAAATATGTGTTACATGACATGTCATGACTTAAAATTGAGGCATTTTCCAAACTGCTGAATGTATGTGCTCCGTTGTGCTAGCTGTGACTCAAACACCACATCTTTCACTGTCTCTCATGTTTGTCTCAGATCCACAGGAGGGCACGAGCTCTGAGGAAACTGGCTAAGCAGCTCATGGAAAAAAAGCTTGTGCTGTCTTCTAAATCCCTGCAGAACTACATCATGCCTTATGCTACTACTGCCATTTTTAGTGAGAAAATGCTCAAGGTAGGCTTCTAAATTGAATGCATCCATTTGAAAATTTTTACCTTTCTTGTGTACCATTCTACTTAAAAGACTAACCACTTTAAAAGGCTGATAGATTTGTGGAGTGACTGTTCCCATTTCAAATAAGAGTGTGGTGCTTCTTTTGATGGCAGAAAGAGGGTTTGGAAGGTGCAGATCCAGTCTTGGCCCAATTGTGTATATGCTAAACATGTCCTGTTCCTCAAAAGTGAATCTTTTAACTGTTTAGGAGCTGGGGCTGGTTTTGGTTGGTTTGGTGTTTTGTTTGTGTTGGTTGGTTTGCTTTTTTTTTAATCAGGCTATTAATGTTTTTTTTTCGTTCTGCCTCCAAAGTGCTTTTTTAGTGTTCTGCTGTGAGTTTAGTTACTGTTTGTTAGCAATGTGTGTGGTGGGGAACATAGGCTGTGCCTAGTAATTGAAGGGGGAATAAATACTGTTCTGGAGTTATGGGGGAACTGCAGGAATCATCTGAACCTCTGAAATCACCAACAACTTTAGTCACAACGTTTGAAGGATTGTATTTTGTTAGTCAGTTTCCATACATTTTATTGACAATGTATGCAGTGGATTTACTTGTAATGACAATGTGGATAGACTTTTTACTTGTGAATTGGAAAAGCAAGGTTTCGTGCTTCTGTTGGTTTCTGCACACCATCAAAACAGCAGAGCTGCTTATGTGTTGATCACACAAATGTCTCATTTGCTTGCTGTCAGAAATGCTCTTCTGAAGCTGAAATGAACTTAGGCACAGGACTAAGCACCTGCAGCCCTACAGACTGTGCCCGTCAATAGAATAACTCTTTGACCAAGGGGGTAAAATGCATTGACTGAAGCCTTGGTGAAGAAACACACATACTTTATTTCGCATCAGAAGTGGGTTAATGATGTGCATTTCTGGTTGATCAGCCTAGCCCATCAGTGTGCCATGTGTCTGTGGTTGGATGACTTGACTGGTTTTTAGTTATTAAAATACTGGTTATAACTAGATCTTGAGTGGTTTTTAGTTATTCACATAAGTGAGCCCATAGATGTAGTTATGAAAAATTAAATGTGTGCAGAAATATTTGGAGGAAGTGAGTCTGTGTATCTGCTTGGTGAGCTCTGATTTCTTTTTAATTTTTTTTTTTTGACCTGGTGACTGTGGGGAGATCTAAAAGTTCTAAATACCAAACATCCCCACTAGACAGACTTTACTTTTTCTTGCTTTTTTTGCTTTGAGTAAAGTATGTTTTAGACACATGTTCATCATGAATGCTAACAGCAACTGATTTTCTATCTTTTGGACAGCATGAAAATATGGTAACGGCCTCAGTTGACATTGTTGGAGCTGTCTGCCGACATCTCTCATGGTCAGCGTACTTGTACTACTTAAAGCATTTCATCCATGTCCTGCAAACAGGACAGATCAGCCCAAAGCTGGGGGTCAGGTAGGTACTGTGAGCAGTGCTGCTCCAGGTTTCTCCAAAGGCAAAATTCAGTGTCTGAAAGGGCATCGCATGGATTTTAGCCTCTTCCATGGGATGAGAGATTGCAAACTTTATGGTGGGCTTATGCAATGAAAGTGGGCATGGCCTTGCAGCCTGCAGCTGTGAAGGATTAACAGGTCATTAACTTTCTCACAGTGTCTCTCACTGAGAGCATGCCAGAGTTCTCAGCTTCTGTCAGGGCTGTCCCTGCTCCTGGGACACCTCCATGGCTCCAGTACCACTCTGTGAGGTTTCACAGCGAGCTAGGTTAAAGAACACATCTAGCTGAAAAGCAGCCTGTTTTTCTTTCCTGGATTGTTATTTCAGGATAAATAGTTCTTACTCAAACCAGGATACCTCCTTATGCTGCAGTGTCACTGAGTCTGAAGTTCTCTTAAAAAAAAAAAAAAAAAAAAAATTTCTGTTGTGTTGGTCTATACAACCTAGCCTCTCCATTTTGTGTGGAGAGTTGATCTCTCTTCATGTTTTCCTTCCTCAGCTTGTTAGAGACAGTGCTGGAAGCCTTTCACTTTGACCATGAAACACTTGAAAAGCAGCTGCTGACCATTGACAGCGAAGGTGAGCTTTCTGCTCTTAACTGTAGAAACACTACCTCTAACTGCTTAAAGTGGAGCTAACTGAAATTTTGTCCTTTACTCTTGAGGTCAGCTACTCACAAGTTTTTATCATGGGCATATTGGAAGTTACTTGCCTCTTCAGGAGAAGTACAGACTGTCCTCCTGTGTGTTGATGAAGCGAGGAGAGATGAAGGGAACCATCTCCACATTATCTGTCCATCCCAGGCCTCCATAAGCCAAAACAGACCAGGCTGGGTTTATGCAAATCTGGGGTTCTCAATGGTCTGCACCTATCCATGTGGCTGCAGACACATCGGGGTTTTGTCCTTGATGTTGACTACTCTCATGGTTAACTGCAGCCTGAGAAGAGTGCTGTGTGGCCTCGCTTTGCTTCCCTTACCATTTCATGGGAAGAAATGATATCTTTGGATTCTTCACCATTGTGGTTACCTGCGTTGTGGCCTTTAGGATGTTCGGAATAAGGAGGAAAATATCTCAGCTCATCTTGTCGATACCTTTTACCTTGTGAAATTGTCAGTTGAAATGTAACTGAATGGTAGTTTTCAAAGGTGCAAGCACATTGACCTTTGCTAAGCTGTCTGTGGAGTTCAGTCAGAGTATCCTAGTCCTTGCTTTAAGCCTAGCACTGAGAGGTGACTATCAGAAATCAGCACACCAAAGCTTCTCTGCCTATTAGAGCAACTATGATACTTACTGCTTGTTTGCTGTCACTGTTGATAGGAAGGAGCTTTAGCCAGAGCAAAATCATCACCAGAGTCTGTCTCAAGAGCGCAGTTTTTGTGGCCTCCTATATTTACCTGTGCTTTTGACAATTACTTGACAGAGGCTGCTGCCATGGACCTTGAGCCAGTGGTGGAGGCTGAAGAAGCCATGGAGCTAGAGCAGAGTGAACAGGAAGAGAAGGTGGTTGAAGAAAATGAAGGGGAGAATGTCCCTGAGAAGCCAGTAGAACCTGACCAAAGACCTGAGACATGTGAAAATGCTGACCAAGTGACTAAACCTGTTTCTTTCTTACCCCAAAATAAAGAGGAGCTGGAGTGTCTCATTAAACACATTCAAGATACAGTTACAGTCAACATCTTGCCTAAATTGCACCGGTGTATTGTTGCAAAGGTGAGGAGCTGGCACTGGTCTTTTGCAGGCCTGTGCTACTGCTATGAATGTTGGGGTGCTACTTCAGAGCCCAGTAGAAATGCAGCACATAAAAACGATGAAACTGGAGAGAGACCACCTGAAAGCACAAAAGAGGCTTCATAGCCTTGTTGTGTCTTGGAGATTACTGACAGACCCTCTGATCAGTGTGAGTGTGGAATCTTTAATTCCCTGCTGAGAACTGGCTTGAACCACACAAGTGAAATGATTGACAGTACAGCCTGTTGAAAAGTTCTCAGCCACTCACTAGCACCCAACTTACCTTCTGTATTGAAAACACATTCACCTCACCTGTCTTTTAGCTGTCTGGGTTTTTCCTGTAGTCAGCAGAAGATAGCAACTTCTCTTGTTGGCACCTTCTAGGGTTTGTGGAGAAAAAGCAAGGTTTGTTTATGTATATTGAAAGTGCATTGTGTCTTACTCTCTTAAAAAGGTTAAAAGGGATGAGGAGCACAAGCTTGTGAAGTCCAGCAGTGTGAATGATGATGAGGTAGTTCGTGTTCCGTTAGCTTTTGCCATGGTCAGGATGATGCAGTGTCTTCCTCAGGAAGTGATGGAAGCCAACCTGCCGAGGTATGTCCCATTGGAGCTCCTTAAATGCTGTTCATTGTACTGGTAATAAGTGCAGGCACCTCTCTTGGGCTGTGGTTATGTATAAGGCTAAGTCCAAGAGGGGCATCCTAACAGTCCTTAAATACTGTGTTTTTTGGAAATTTGTTTGCCCACTGACATTCCTCTCTGTCAGCATTTGACTTCTGGAAAGCTGAGTTTGAGAACTTCATGAATCTTTAAGAGCAGAGCTGTTGAGTAAGGTGCAGAGGTAGGTGTGGCAGAGCTGGGGAGAGAATAACGTAGAGAAAGAAAGCGCAATTGGTAAAATGTCTTGAAGGACATTAGGTGTGTGTATGGCTACAAAGCCTTTTTGTGAGGCTGCTTTGAGTGTAGCTCTGGCTGTGAAACAGCCCTGAGAAGCAGCCTCCTTAGCTAGCAGTGTAACTAGTTCTGCTCTGTTCAGGGATGAGCTAAGCTCTCTATCTCTGTTTCCAGCATCCTGCTGAAAGTCTGCACGTTCCTGAGGAACAGATTTCAGGAAATACGGGACATTGCCCGTAACACCCTCACTAAAATCATGGAAGTGTTGGGAGTGCAGTACCTTCAGTACATCTTAAAAGAGTTGCAGTCCACTCTTGTCCATGGGTACCAGGTAATGCTGAAATTCTCCTTCTCTGCTCTCTTTAGTTTTTTTTCATGAGTTAGGAGGAGAACCAAAGGGAAATTACTACTGAAATTGTTTTGCACTGGTAGAATAGCTTGATATAATACAACTAGATCCTGTTCTAGTGTCTACATTAGTCTTTGTTACACCAAGTGTCAAATGAGGTTCTGTACTCAAAGAATTGAAGTCTAAGCAGGGGAGAAGAGAGGATCTCCATTTTCCTGGTGAAGAGTTGAGTTATATAAGTGAGAGATGAATTTCTGGTTCCAGTAAGATTAATGGAAGTCTTTCCAGTCAGGTCACTAGGGCAAAGCATCATCTGAAGTGAGTTCCTTGTGGGAACTCTGCACAGACAGTATGTGGTGATGCCAACTGAAGTCGTGCTTCCTAGATCCAGAGCCAAGCCTCTGACTATTAATTTGTCTTTCCTCTTTCTGCTGTGGTTTGGGTTAAGAATGATTTCCTGTGTGAATTACCACAGTGGAATAACGTGAGCTTCTTGCTGCTCTTAAGAGTGAAAGCAAGAATTAGCACTGCCTAAAAATATCAGTAGGAGCAGTGGGGATGGAAGAGATTCCAGCCTTCCTGCAAGTATGTGGAGAAACAGGGATGGGGTCCTCTTCCTGCTGCCAGTACATGGAGTCTCATCCTCCTGGTGATTTTTCTTTTTCTTTTTTCCTGTAACAAGAATTCAAGTGCAATGTGTGAGTTGTGACGTCTCTGCTATGGGAGGTCTCCCCATCCAGTATTATTAAAGAGGTCTGTGCAGGGGTTTGGATACGTGACCTGTTGTCTTTTTGTCTAGCTTCATGTGCTGACTTTCACTGTGAACCTGTTGCTGAAGGGCCTTACTGCCAGGCTGAGTGCTGGTGATTTGGATCCCTGCTTAGATATCCTGATTGAGGTAAAAGCTATTCAAGATTGAAGGAAAGAGCATCATGAAGTGCCTGGGGTGGATTCTGGGAGAAGGTGGTTTTGTGTGGATTGTCTCAGATTTGGTGGCAAACGGGACTCATTGTGTGTGTACTGCAAAGGAAGGAGATTTCTTTTCTGCTGAGGCATCAGCAGACCACTTATAAAGCAGCGAAGTATCTCTGAGGCTATATCCTGAGCCCTGTGTCCCGAGAGGGAATGGATTCAAGAATAAGATACCTAACTATGTCTCCCTGTATTCCAAATAGCTCAGCAAGTCAGCAGACATCTGGTCAGTGCGGTCCACAGAGCCCAGGAGCTCAGCTGGCTGCCCAGATAAAGTATATTTGGATGCCTTGGTCTGGCTGCAGTCCTACCCCTGTCACAGCAGCACAGAGGGGTGTGAGAACAACATCCCTATCTGGTGTGCTCAAACTGGGGTGTTTTATGTTGGCAAAGTAAAGGTAGACTTGATTTGTGGGGAAACCTGCAGGATTGTTTTTTTCTGTCAGTGGAGAAAAATAGTGGTGTTGTGCTGCTACTGGAGAAATCTGACTCTGCTATATGCTCCTCTCATTCACTTTTCTTTCCTGATTTCCAAAGATTTTCAACCAAGAATTGTTTGGAAATTTAGCTGAAGAAAAGGAAGTGAAGGGAATTGTCTCCAAGGTCATGGAAGCACGCAAGAACAAGAGTTACGATTCCTATGAAATTCTTGGGAAGTTCATAGGGAAGGGCCAGGTGATGAAACTTATCCTGCCACTGAAAGAGGTAAGGAAACTCAGCCAGAGTCTTTCTTAACTTTGAGCACTCTCAATTCTGTATGATCTAAAAGAAACTCAGGAGCCCTTGGGTGGCTACTGTGAAATTACCTTCATAATCCTGATTTGGTTTCCCATTTTTCTTTTGGAAAGCAGTATACACACACCTCATAAAATGAGACTTTACTATCGATGTCCAGTGCAGAAAATTGTGTTCTGAGGAGCTTTCAGTTCCTGCTAGAGAGGAAATATCCCACTATGAATTCATGTCCTCTCCCTCTGCCAACTTTCGTTTCTGCTGGAGCTCTGAAGTCCTGCAAGGCTGCTCCATTGTTTTATCTCTTGTGCATGAAGGAAGTGACACCAAAATATATTCAGGCTCTGTCCATGTGCAACAACTACCTTTTCAGAGATGCAGTTTATTTAGTACAGTGCAAGCTCATGCAGACATCGATCCCTGGTTTGATCTTGAGCTCTGGAGCGTCCTGGTGGCAACAGGTGAACTGTCTGGAGGCTGAGGAGAGGCTGTAGAGAAGGGGAAGGATGCTGGGGCAGAGCTGAGGTGGCAGGATGCTGTTCATGTAGAGAGCTGGACATTTACAGCAGCATGAGATGAGGGAGGAATTGCTCCAGCTTTTCCATGATTTCTGAATACAGACAGCAGTTCATTGCCCTCATGCTCTTGCCCCTCTCTATTATATTAACCCCTCTCTATTATATTCCAAA